AGAACTGCGTCAAAGGAGCTTTTGTCCATGGAGAGAGACCTCATACAAAAGTCCACAACTAGTGAACTCTGACGGACAAACTCTTTATGATTTCCAAGGAGAATTCAGACTTCAACCCAGGTCTGGTTCAGCCAAGTGCAAAAAGCTACCTTCTGGGAAAAAACTTTGCAGCTACTAAGCTGCAAAAAGCCTTTTATCCTCTCACAGAAGAGCATGGAATAAACACGTGAGTGCTGGTTTTCAAAATCCACAGTTCCTTCAATATTTTAAATAGCATATACGCTTTCATTGGACCCTCACTGCCAACCAAGAGCGTTAATAAAAAAGATACTCCAACAGAAGCGCAGACCTTGTGTGTTCCAGAAATATTTGTAGTTACTACGTATCTTTCCAAACAACTATCAGGTAAAATCTCCGCTGAGTCTGAAGAGTAATGTAAAGTTTTTCTCATAGCTCTGCTGTGTCTGTATGTCCCTGCCATCAGAATTATTTTCTCTGTCTGTAGGATCACTTGAACAACCAACAGACATTTTGCCTTTAGCAAGCTCAGGCTTTTGACATGTTTTCATTTAGAGTAAAATGGTTTCTTTCTGCTGTGCACTATATAACTAACCAAAAGAGGAGGAAAAGATTAATGCAAATCACTTCCATAATTCACCAGAAATGCACATTTCTAATCACTGCTGGGTTTGAATTGCAGTATTGGAAACGCATCATGCACAGATCGATGTTCCAGCGCAGCCGAGCTACATTCTGTATGTGTTATCGACCCAACTGGGAAGCCATGAGGCAGAAACAGTTAAGAAAATATTTACAGCAGACAAAGTCCTACGGTAAATCAGTAATGAACTTGTTTGTCTGACCTATTTATTCATGACCAATAAGTAAGCTGCCTCTTTTTTCTAGTAACTTCTACCACACAGATAATACTACAAAGTAATGCTACACAAAATAATAAAGGCAAAATAACCACTTAATTCCTCTATCAACTTTTTTAATTTTTTGTAACTAACACGAGAAGATAACTTGCATTGTGATCATTCCTTCCAACATCTTGGTTAACATCTACTCAGCCAAACACGGGTAAGCTTCCTCCAGCTGAATATTAAGGGAAAAGTTTAATAACTCCTTACTTTTCATTTAGCCTTAGGAAGAGAGCTCTCAAACAAGTTTACGCAAAATAGCTATGTTCTATTTTCTGGAAAATTTTCAAACTGGAAATTATAAATACTCTTTTAGGTAAAACAGACACTCTGTTACACTTTGAATGCCTCATTTGAGATGCTTAGAACTTTTCCTGCATTCACATCAAAGCACCTCCAGGACAGCTAGGGAAAGTGGGTTATTTTTTATACATCCTTGTTCGTGTAGAGACTTAGTTATTACAAGGGAGTATTGAATGTAACTGTTTGCACACACACACATAAATAAGTGTCTCTGAAGCAAATAAAACTCGTTCAGCTCATCCTATCTCCCTATACTTTTACAGGATCTCTGAAAACTATTTGATGCTCTGAAGGCTCCTTTCTCAGTGACCCAACACCTCTCTTAAGTGCCAAATTTTTAGGAATACCATTGGTATTCACCTGTTATTACTTCCAAATCCACAAGATTTCAGAAATAAATGAGGACTTTTATCATTTTGGGCAGCTTTTTTCGTTGAAGAGTGCTGCTTCTAAACAGAAAAGCCCAGCCACTTCTCAAACGCCTTCCCTGAGACCTTCAGCAGCGCAAAAGAGTGTGACTCCAGGAGGAATCCACCTACAGTCCTCAAGCCCTCTTACAATCCTAAACATACCACATAAGCATAAGACACTTTTTTCACACATTGTGCCTCCTCCACCCTCCAGCTTTCTTGGACAGAAATGCTGATGTGAAAGGAGGAGTCTGTGATGATCCAGAGTTGCTGCTGTGGGGCTCGGGGCCGCACTGAGCTCATCCTGGCCATCAGAGCAGACAGCCCTGTGGTCAGAAGAGCACAAAACATTTTACCCACAGACATCATTCTCAACAGTGCTGCTCTTCATTTTGGTCTGAGCACTTTTGTTTTCCTGAAATGAAATGCATTAGTGCACTACATGGCATTACTTGGGCACACACTTTACAGTGAATCACACCGGGTTGATTAACTCTTGGGGGAACTGGAGATTTTGTTTAAGGAAGCTCATAGAAGAGATCGTGGGAGATCTCAATTTATGGCAGTAGAGGCAGAAAAGTAAGTGGATGCAAATCTGTAGAGAACCAGGATTCATTAGTTCTGTGCCCACAGAACTTCTCTTCATGCAGCTGCTTCTCTGATCCCAGGGCGCATCTTTTACTTACTCAGCCTGATGTCACCAGTCCCTCCTCTCCTGTGCCAAAAGCATGAAAACCCTCAGCCCCACGGAGAACATAAATTAAGCAGCCGTGCGTGTAGCAAGACTTTTCTCCTTAAACCTGACGTTCAGACCACTGCTGAAAGAGAAAGAAACATGAGCACTGTGCAAGGCTTTCAGCCTGGAGCACAGCAGCCCACCTGGGATCAGGCACCCGTCTGTGCAGTGCTGGTCCCCCCCCAGGGCACTGGAAAGAGAGAAACCCTGTTTGTTTGGGTTTCACGGGAATGTAAGAAAAGAGAACACAAACTAGTGCTTTTTCCCCAGGACTGTCACAGTTGTCTTTTTTTCTTGCTTGTATCAGCCTGCTGCTGTAACCTCAAGAGGCTTCTCACTTGTATCAGCCTGCTGCTGTAACCTCAAGAGGTACAAGAATAAGGTACAAGAGGAGGATTTCTTCATGACAGAAATAAGCACTTGTGCTACAGATTAAGTAGCAGCACCGTGTATTTATTCATCATTACCGTGTCCAAACAAGCTTTTGTGACCCTGGTTTTAAGAAAAGACAGGCAGCTCCTGCCAAGAAATCAATTGGAGAGATGCTAAACCCAAGCGTGCAATAACTTTTAAGTAAAGAAAAAAACCCGTATTTTTTTATATCTCTGGTTTGATGCTGTTCGCTACAGTCACAATGGGCTATAATGCTCTTTCAAATTTTCCAGCACAAAGTCCTAATCTGAGGATATTCTAATGAAGTGAGGCAAATGCTCAACACAAGAATAGCCTGGCATTTCTGCAATGAAATATGAAGCTCAGGCCAAATCCCGAGGTCAAGTTTTACAGGCAAAACTTTTCAGAAACTCTGAGGGCTGGCTGTTTGAATGAAGACATCACACTTAGGTCCGTGACCGCTATCATGTACGGAAAGCATTTTTCTTTTAGGAAACCAAAGCAATCTGCATAATCCTGGCAAACCGGGAAGGTAATTTTAGCACTTGCATCAAGCATTTTGTGCTGTAATTTCCTTAAGGATATTTCAGGCAATTTTAAATGCACACCACCTCCAAGAAAGAGGCTAGCACTGAAGCCACTGCTATCTTCAGCACCATGGGGAAGAAATTTAGGGTTTGTTTAGCAGTTTTAATAAAATATGAAGATATGCTTGCTTCAGGTTCAGAAAGCAGCATATCCATGTGGCAAATAAGAAACGTAATTTCAAAGCTACCTTGCCTTCTTGCTCTACGCCTTCACATCATACCTTCCACACATCTTTCCCTTCCCCAAAGGATTTTAAGGACAAGTCCCTCCATATGGCTGCCCTCTTCTGGATGGAATCAAAAACCATTCGATGATTTCCAGAAAATAAAATGCAGTTGTCTGCTTCTCAATGGAGGACGACTTACATTTTCCCAACGTGTCTGTGTAATCACAAAGGTTGCAGAAAGAGCTATGAAATTCTAAGGGTCTGCTTCATAATTCTCTACACAGCTAGCCAACTTTTTTTAGAGTAGAGTTTTTCACCAACTTGTTGGGTTTTTTCACCTTCGCATTTATTTCCTATATTTATCAGTGCTTAAAACGCTCTGTTCTTTCCTTGTAAAGTACTTAATCCTCCTCCACGAACATAATGGAAAATATTTCCATGTCTCTTTGTTGCTTAAGGTAAGCACGTTAAACACAGAATATTATGGCTGGAAGGGTTCTTATATAATCTTTGCCTCTGCTCCAAGTCAGGGTAAAATATCTATTTGCTGCTCTACATCAGTGCTTGGCTGACCCCTGTTAAAGACACCGTAGTCCGTGGCTTCACCAGTTAACTGTTGGTGTTCCTCTATGTTTTTTTTACAGCCTGATGACATGAGCGAAGGGCTCTAGAGAGTCATTTAAAAAGCACCCATTCATCATAGAATCACAGAATCATAGAATTGTCCAGGCTGGAAGGGACCTCCAAAGGTCATCTAGTCCGACCTCCCCGCAGTCAGCAGGGACACCCCCAACTAGACCAGGTTGCCCAGGGCCTCGTCGAGCCTCTCCTTGAATATCTCCAGGGAAGGGGCCTCAACCACCTCCCTGGGCAACCTGTTCCAGTGCTCCACCACCCTCACAGTGAAGAACCCTCTCCTCATCTCCAGTCTAAATCTGTTCCCCTCCAGCTTGAAGCCATTTCCCCTCGTCCTGTCACTGCAGGCCTTTCTAAACAGGCTCTCCCCAGCCTTCCTGTAGGCCCTTCAGGTACTGGAAGGCTGCTATTAGGTCTCCCCGGAGCCTCCTCTTCTCCAGGCTGAACAACCCCAGCTCCCTCAGCCTGTCCTCGTAGCAGAGGTGCTCCATCCCCCTGATCAACCTTGTGGCCCTGAAGCTCTCCCTCTGAGCTCTCATCTTTAAACTGAGCGCAAGGATTGAAACGCAAAGCGGAAAGGCTGGAGATGAAACATCCCTTGAAGAGAAGACTCACTTCTTGACACCGGGAGCGGGAAGCTGGAAGGTTTTCTCTCTGTTATTATAGGCTCAGTCATAGAACCGGTGCACGCTTTGAAACTTTCACATCTGTGCATCACGGCCCGGGCCAGGCACAGAGCCAAAGGGGCCGAATTCCTACGAGCCCGTGCAGCTCCCAGCGGGCTGACGGCGCTAGGACCCAGAGGGGGAGCTCCGGCGTGTGAGTCAGTGCGGGGCAGCAGAGCCGGGAGCGGTGAATGAGGCTGGGAAGGCAGCGGGAATGTGAATGGCTCTTCTGGCTCCCCAAAGTGTCCGCCAACCGCAAACCAACCCGCACAACCCTCCGGACCCCCCCCTCCGTACCCCCGGAGTCCAGCGGGACCGCTCTGAGGTGAGTGACCCCCGCAACGGTGCGTTCCCGCAAAGTCCTTGGAGGTGGGGGTGGTAGGGGGGGTGCTGCTGCACCAGTTGGGGAAGTTTGGGTTATCTTCCAAAATTAGCCCGTGTGGTTTTGCTGGGCAGTGATTTTCACTCTCTCCGGTGCTCGTGGCTTAAAAAAAAAAATAGCGAATTTCTAGTGAAACTGCAAATTGCATCTGCTAATGCAGGTTAAACTGCACACACAGCTGGGAGGTGTTGGTAAAGGGTTTAGAAAAACATCTTCAGTAAGAATAGCTTAATCTTAGAGAAACGTATTATTCTCACTCTTTTTAACCAGCTATACGAGAACTTTTATTATTATGAGAAGTTTTATTCGCATTGTACAGTAGTTACATCTATACAAGAATTCTTTGCCGTCTTTGTTCTAAATATTTAGGCTTACTTAACACTTTCCTTTTTTTTTTTGTTCTATGATAATTCTATTCTAGATAAGAACCCCTTTACTTTTTTCATTACTAATACGAATAAATAGGTAAATCGTAGGAAAATAGCTATGAACAAATAGACAAATCAAAGCATGATTGGCCCAACGCAGAAACATTTCAGCTCCAGGCAGAGCAGGAGTTCACTAGAGACTGTGTATCCTCCAGGATGTCCACTTGGAAAAGCTTACAAACGCCTGCCTGTTAGTGACAGGATGGAATGGACAACGTTTGTTGATTTATACCCAGTGCTAACACTGTTTTACCTGATAACGCCGGTTCAGAGTCAAAAATGCGGACCCCTGTCAGGGAGACAGAAGGAATTTGTGTGCTTAGAGCAAAAAATGTTGGAGCTTCAGTTGCTTTCTTCACTTTAAATTCTCCTTATATGCTCAAGAAGTTTTAGAAAAACAGCAAAAGTAAGCGTGCCTGTCAGGCTGGTTTTTCCAAGTTGTGACAACTTGGAAGTTGCATTTTAACTGTTAGATAATTTATGGATGTTTTCATGCATTAGAGTATCACGACAAAGTCTTTTGGGCACTTTTTTACTGAGCCAAAATAAAACGTGACAATTATCTGCAAAAAGATAGAGAGGGAGTTAACTTGCCTGTAGGTTCCTACTCTTTGCACTTCTGACCTGTTTCAGATATTATGGAAAACAGGCTTTTGGAAATAACCCTGACGACAACCATTTCAGACAGTTTTCTGAAACTCAGGAGGTTACAATATTTTCTGCATTTTCACAAAGAAGTTATAGTGATGGAATGAAGAACCACATAAACGGGAGTGTTCACATGAGTATGATAAGAAAGATTTGGCTTTTAAATCCATTTATAAATATATATATGGAAAAAAATCATTTTCTAGCAAACCCCAGTAAGGTCTGGAGAGGAGTCCTGCTGTTGGATCTGTGCACTAGACTAACACTGGTTTCACATCTCCATCAATCCCAACCACTCACCCTAAAGGGATCCGTCAGTTTAACAGTGAGGTAGTAAAGAAAATAACTGTGGCTTTCTTTTGCTCATCCTCTTAGCTAAGCAGTGTCCATTTTCTCAATTAAATTAAATTATCTTTTCAGATGTCTTAAGTTCAGTGGAGAATTACAGTGAGCACAAAGGATCGTGCTAACCCATAGGCTAAGTAAACAATTGTTACACAGAATAACTAGACAGTCTATGTAATCACTGTCAGACGTTAAATTAAAAAAATCAAGCTAGAAAATTACCTAAAATATATATTCAGATTAGCTTTTTCAAGTATAAAATGACCTTCTTTAATGGGTTACCTGGAACAAGGATCAAATAGAACATATTTAAAAACTAGATTATTTCAATCAATAGATTAAGTCCCATAAATTCCCCCACTGCTCCATATAAAAACGTTCCTTTAAATGCAAATTCTACTAATTGGTTTTCTGTTTCCTTACAAAATGCTTTTAGGACTAACAGATATGGAATACATATTATTAGTATTAATTGAATTAAATTACAGGCCTGTGGAAAAAATATTGGTAATTTTAAGAAGTTAACATAATTCTGCCCTTTTTTTTAAGTCTATATTCTAAGAACAAACTCTGCTGGTAGAAAATAAAGGGTTCATAAAAATAATGCTTTCAGTCCAGAAGATTCAATACTCTAACACCAAAAGTCAATGCTGGATTGGTGGGTTTAGAAATATTTGTCTATCCTTCAAATCCCAGTCCAATAAAAACTAGAGAAACTCAACTCCTTTCGATCTGGCAATGGTGACCTCTGCTGGCAACTGCCCTGTCATGAAAAGAAGTTTTAAGGGCTTATTCAGAGAGTGACTGTGAACTCACACATTTATTAGGTCAGCTGATACAATTAGAGAAATATAAAATAACACCTCTTCCCACAAAACTTGCCTCATGGTGAAGAAAGTGAAAGGCACATGTAACAATGCTGCTGCTCCTTTCACAGTAAGAAGGAAATTCTCCCTATTCTGAATCTGACTTGAACCTGGTCCCAGAGGCCACGTATTTAAGAGCATTTCTACGACAGAAGCATCTCCCGCTGTGGGACAGATGTCCTATGGGATGCTTGTGGCTTGTTCTCCTGATACAATGCCCTTTGTGCAGCTCTGCTGAATTCATTAAATATTTGTGTGTGTGTGTGTGTGTATTTATACCAAAAATCATGCGGCCAAGAAAAGCAAGGATCGTTTTTGCTGTCGCCAAGAGATCGTAGTCTCTCTTAATGTTAATTATATGCACTCTTATCTGCCTGGTGCCACAAATACTGAAGCTATGTAACTTCATCAGTGGAAAGAAAATCTCAGATCCTCCACATAAACCTCTACTGTCCCCCCATCTGAATATTGCTTGTAGTTCTTGTCATCATTTACATCTCAGAAAAAAAGAATAAAGTAAAACAAGAAAAGGTGCAGGATGATGAAAGGCCTGGAACATTTTCCATATTTAGAGAAACTACAAAGATCACGATTTCTAAGTCTGGAAAAGACATGGCTGAGGAGGGGTATAATGAAGATATTTATAGTCATGATTGTCCTTAAGATGTTTAAAAGGAAATGGCTGTTGATTGCCTCCCAGTTCAAAAATCAAGGAGCGGGAAATAAAACTAGCAGGTGGCAGGTTCAAGGCAAACAAAAGAAGATGGTTCCTCTCTCCACGTGTAATTGAGCTATAGAATTCCTTTCCACAAGATACTGTAGTTTGCAGGAGTTCAGAAAGTCATCAGACATACTAAAAGCAAAGAGACTACCTGTGGTTCAGGAAATCTGTGATTCAAAAACGCCTGCTGAGTGGGAGAGTGCACCAAGGAGATGGTCACCTTATGGTTGCCCTGTTTGTACGTCGCTCCCGAAACGCTCCTGGGTACCACAGGAGAGAGAACACTGACCTGGATGAACTCCTGTTCTGGTACAGACAGCCCAACCTGCTTCTCGGAGTTTTAACCTGTCAAATACTTGACCCAGCCTAGCAAGAAGAAAGCTGACCATGTAGTATTTACTATAGGCTGCCAGTTCGTTGATGAAAGAATGATGATTCTGGCAAAACAAAAAGGAAAAGGTAGAATTCTTTATTTTAATTTTTGTTCAAGAATTAGGTGTAAGCATGTGTTCATGTTTCCACTACAGAAGGACGTTAATGCTGAGATTTACAGCTATTCAGGCAAATCAATGTCTAAATAGATTATGACTGAGGTAGTAGAGAAAGGCCTATGAAAGTACATAACTGGTTAATCTTGTGAAATTCACCAAAATCTACTGCAAATGGGAAAATACAATTTTATCTTCTATCTTTGTGGCCTGTTTATTCGTGGACCTGATACTTTATTTGAAACTCATTCTTGAACTCAATTATTTTCTACCTGCTTTCACTGAAAATACATACATCTAAGTAAAAAGCAGTGTGGAAATACTACATCACTAATTACACTGATGATACAGCTTTCCCTCTGGGAACTGCATGACCCTGCAAAATGCAGCAGAGAGAACAGCAATGCAGACAGTGAGATCTGAGTGCCAAGAATGGGGCTGGTGTATTCTGAGGTTGAAAGGTGGAGACACGAGATGTCAACCTGACGTTGCTCACCTACCCCCGGATGTAGCTGACTTGCTGCTGACACATTAAATGTGTTTTTCAGCCTGTAGCACACATAAAGAAACACCACAACTGTACAGAACTTCCTTTGGGTGAAAGTGGGATTTTTGCGCCCACAAATTCTGCTTCTCTGAGATTATTAAGTAGTTGGAGATAAATTATGGCTGTAGTGGAATATTAACACCTGGCGCTTGTAGACAATTATGGGGACAGAGGAGAAGGGATGAAATCAAATGTAATGGATACACAGATGAAGGTGTAGGACACTGAGTGCATTTGCAGAGGGGTGGGAAGTCACCAAAGATGCACAGAGGTGGATACAGCAAATCACTGCTCAGCACCCCCAGGTACCCCCCACCGCAGGGTTCCTCTCACGTGTGTAGAAGAATGAGAGACAGAAAGATACAGTACTTGTCTGTGTGACAATATTCACATGCAAGACATTCAGATTACACCATTAATGTACCAGCAAGAGAATATATGAAAAGCACTGCTCAGTATTTTGAGCCTGCACACAGCTGTTTAGATGAAAATTGCTGTATGCCTGTAGAAATCAGGCCCTACATACATATATATATATATGAATGAGACTTTGCTGTAATATTATCTAAATCCAAAATAAAAATGACTGCATGAGGTAGTATTAAATAACATCCTTGATGGCTTAACTGCCAGGCTTCTGTACCATCGTTTAAATTTCCTGTGCCATTGTTCAATGAATGAAACACCTTTGACTTTTCCTTATCTTGGAGCCAATGTTTATTTCCCAGTAAAGAGCCTTTCTCCTTTTTTTCCACCTTCAAGATTTCAAGACTTCTTTTGTTCAGGGATTTTCTAAAACTGCACATTGAACACAAACCACTAAACCGATTAAAAAAAAAAGAAAAAAAAATAATCTTTCCCCAATTTATGTTCATGGCTCCAAAATCAAATTTCCTGTTC